TAGGGGATTCGATATAAAAAAATTGATTGTACTTCATAAATTTTATTTAGTTAATCACTATTATTTCTGACAATATAATAATCGCCATACAAGACTTTTGCACTCTTCAGTAATATATTTTCTTTTTTTAATCTCATCATAATCTCTCATGCCCCTTTCATTTGCATCAACTTTCCCAAGATCACATATATTCGTTACATCTTCATTTCTCAATCCAATTTCAACTTCTGTGGTCCAAAAACTTCTTAGTGGTTCTATATTAGAAACATCAACACTTTGTACATGCCTTACAAAATTGCACAAGATACTTATATCTTTATTTAATTCTATCTGAGGATTTGATGTTTTATTATTTTCTACCTTTACATCTGACTTTTTGTCGTTAAATGAATTATCATTAAGTATAGATGAATTTGAGAATTGTAATCTTGCCATTTTTAATAAGCTTAGAAATTCGTGTTGTGTGATTTTTACTTCTTGCTGATCCTGAACATTAATATCTCCTTTATATTTGGCTGGAGGTAACAGTAATGATTTCACAGACCACGTTGGAGACTCGGGCTTTTTTTTTTAAAAAAAAAACATTAATATATATAGAAATATATATATATTAAACAATTTCATAAAGAATATTTACTAGACAATCTTCATCAATCTTCGGCTTCATGTTATCGTTGTTTGGTGAAACCATTTTACTTAAATTGCGAAAGACGAAGCCTAGAGTCGGAAAAGGATGAAAGACGGAACTTCCTGACAAAATGGCGAAACTATGATGAATGACAAACCCATTGAAGAAAGGCGAACCTCTTGACGAAAGCATTTTACAATGATGTGACGTTGCGTATATGGTTGTCAAACACAATGGCTGAAATCTTAGATTTATGAAGAAAGCTCAGCCCTAAAACATCTGATCAGCGGCATATGATATCAATATGTAAATCCTGAGGTTTTTTAATTGTTCACAGTATCGTGCATCCCTTTATATCTAATTATATACAGTAAATAAGGTACTTCATACAGTACAATTTTACTTCGAAAGAAAGTTTTGGTATTTAAAAATCATTTTTATAAATATGTTAAATTCTTATTTAATATAATAAAAAAATTGTTATATTGCCATATATCTGTATATTTTAGCAAAAGATTTTAGAAATTAAAAATAATGGAAGTGTGACCACTTCGAGCTTAATTGAATCACATCGGGTTCAAGTGAAGCCGCTTTGAATTGATTTGAACCCACTTCACCCCATCCTAGACTCATTTAAATCCAACCCGGGATCATTTAAATCCGACTCGGGTTCAGGTGATCCCATCTCATGTTCAAGTGAACCTCTTTGGCTTCATTTGAACCCGAGGTGGTTCAATAACCCTATTTTTTATAGTTTACAGTATATATTTAAAAATATTTTTAAAGGTTAGAATAATGAACAAAATTTTTTCTTTAGGAATTCAATTTTTTTATTAATAAATTATGATAAAATAAAATTTGTAAACTAAATACTATATCTAAACAAATTAGAGACTATATATAATAATATATAATAAATAAAAATAACTACTGTTGTCACTCGGCATCCTGAAACGATCATGCCAATAGGGTAAAAAGGGATAGGTCTGTCCGCCCCGAAAAAATAAATAAAAATAAAATAAATTTATAACTTAAAGACAAATTAAAAAACCTCAATCCCGGAACAACGCCCGGGCCTAGAGCTAGTATTGTAATAATAACTATCGTTATCGTTATATCGATATTTAGTTTGAATTAATATGAAATAAAAGATCAATAAGAGAATAACAACACCAATAAGTATACAATATTGGGCAAAATTTGTGAATAACGGTAATTTGGCAAAACCGGGGCAAATGAACACGCGCCGCGAAGCGGCACGTGAGCCAATCATTTGCCCGGTTGAGCCAAATTATTGTATTCGACAAATTGCCCAATATTGGTGTTATCCGGCAATTTATGATCATGATTGGTAGGGAGTCATCGACTGAGTTTTAATTTGAATAAACATGATTATATCGTAACACATGAAAAAAATAACAAGACAGATGGCAATTCATGATCATAAGAGTTTGCCGGATAATATATTATACATTTTGATTATTTATTGATTCTCAGCATCGAGAATAAATAACTGACAAAAAATTATAAAATATGTGTTCCGGCTTTCAGATTTTTTAAACCACCTAACTTTCCTTTCCCATGACATCTGTTGCGTTTGAAGCATCAGAAATTTCTGTGGCTTGTCCGAAACTTTGACTAACATCACTACTAGACTCATCGAAGGTTGTACCGACAGGAACTTTCTTCAGGCCCAGTCCGATCAAGCGGCCGTAAGAGGCATAATAAATCGGTTGTTAAAGTTTCTTAGGGTAAGCGTTTGTGATGGATCATTAAAAAATACAGCGATTGGAGCGGATCGTACAATAATAGCGAATAAAGAAAGGAAAATCAAAATTTTAAATAAGATTCACCTGATAAGAGCGATCATATTTAGACAGATTCAATGAGAAGATTAGGTTTTAAGGACAAATTCAAATGCGCGTTTGACCCTGAAGGTATTTAATTTTTTATAACGTATATATGGATCAATCAATCTTTGATCTATATGCATCGAAGTATCTTAACGATGCGTAACATTTAAAATTGACAACAGGTCATATGTACTGTACGTGCTATACACCATTGTAACTTGTAACTCAAGTTCTCGAAAGTCATTTTCTCTAATCCCGATAAAGTTATCTGGCGCTAGCTTTAATGTTTGCTGATTTGGTCGAGATTATGTCCTCTCGGAAAATGACCTTCGTAGTAATCTGGAATCGGGTGCAAATTCAGACCGCAGTCCAAATCAAGTCTTTACCAGATAAAATGTACTTAATAGTAATTGAATTGAACTCTTCTCAAAACATACATTACCTATGACAGAAAGTTGATCTATGTCTAGCTGGCGGCGTTCTTTTTTGACCAAGATTTTACATTTTTAGTAGAAAAAAATGAATTGATTTGTTATATTTATGCTTTGTATATTAATGTTGATTTGAAGTTAGAAGTTACAGTTGTATTACAGCATTATCAATTTTCGCTATAGTATAAAATTCTGGGATAAGAATATATAATGTATTTTTAAATTTTTCAAATTAGCTATACAAACCAATTTAATGGCTAACCTTTTTCATGCAGAAGTATCCGAAAGGTCTATGTATGATGTACTACTAATTTTTTTCTTAAACACAAAGATTTCCAATATCAGGCATATTGAAATATCATCAAGTATTTGTTTTCTTCATTTTATGAGACCGTCAAAATATATAATGAAATATAAACTAGTTTCATATTAAATTTAACAGATATCCAACGGATTTACTATTAAATTTGCATCCAACGGATAATCGGATCCAAACCCTAATATAAACGAATTGGTTCAATAAGTGTTTAATAAATTGTGCAATGGATAATGATTTAACTTCTTTCAAAATCATGAGGATTTGTCTTACGCTAGACCATTCACGCGATCTTAATCATACGAATTGGTTCTAAGTTGAACTTTTTTATGCAATCATCAATCTCTCTATTTCTACTTGATCATGCTTGTCTTGTTACATCAGGATCACATGTCTGACTCCATGTTTCACTCGTGTCATATTCATTACAATGCGTACATTCACCATTGTATCTTCATAATTATCAATTGTAAATAATTTTTATGCACCAGCTTATTGACGTTAATAAGATAGTAAATATTCGCGAAATGGAACGGCATATTCGTATATTTAGTATTTAGCTCAATCAATAAATTCTTTATACTCACAACCAAATTAATGGGAATAAAATAGTAAGCATTCACGAACTTGAAGGTTACTCTAAATACTTATACTGATAATGTTCTTTATACTCGCGCAAATAAAATAAAATTAAATGGTAAATATTCATGAATATTACCACTCGTGTTACTTACCCGCAGGTGACCCGTGTTATATCGCCCGGATGATCCGAATGACCCTTCCGCAGGTAAACCCTGATTGTGAATTCTAGACGGGTCCAATCACTACGATAAGTATCGTTACATAAAAATCGCATAAGTCACCACTAAGAAAATACCGACTCTGACACTGATATGATTTTGATAGACTAACGAAAGGAACATTTGAAATTGGGTAGAATTTTTTATCCCGCATCAAGCGAGCCCTATACAAATATTTACAAATGGATATAAAGAACTACTTAACATGTACTTACCGTTACGTACGTACGTACGTTCGGATATTAACTAATTACCAATCAAATTCTAGTTATTATCCATTACATATTATTATTATCATAGCGGAGTTTGAAATGAACTGTGATATAACCTAAACTATAATTTATATATATCGATCGGTCTTTACACATGATTTTATCATCAACCAATTAAAATCGAGAAAAATCGTGTAACCAATCAAAATTCAGAATTTGTTTAACAAAGGCGTACAGTTGCACCGATGTTCCTTTGAACAAGTTTAATTAGTTCTTGATCATACCAACACATGTTGCATATTAAAATAAAATTTTCTAATCACTATGCGTTCTATATAGAAAAAGTTTTAATAAATAATAAATTAGACAGTTTCATACTTTATTAGACTGTCGCAAAAATAAGTTTATTTAAACTTAATTATTTAATTTCCAAACATGCATAACAGATAAACAAAACTTTAACTAAATAAATAGTAAATAAATTTACCTTATTAATGAGCAAAATTGGTATATTTAGCAATTCCTTTAACTAAATAAATAGTAAATAAATTTACCTTCGTTAATTAACTACAAAATGTTATATTTAGATAATTTGTTGTAAATAATATTATTATAATTTTAATACTTGGAAGACGTGTGATGAGCAAATTATAACTAAATTCTCACATTTTATCATCATTTCGAGACGAATGTTTCATATCTTAATATA